AATTTATACGTTGATTGTCAAACAAGCTTTGTAACATTTAAAGACAACAAAAAATTGTTAGCATGTGCTAAAAGCACACAAAAATACGTGTTTAAAGCAATAAAAACATAAAATTTGAAAAATACTTTTTTTTTCTTCCTAATACTTTATTTTTTTCCTATCCAAACCACTTTATACGTTTTTTTTTGTCAAAAAAAGTTGGCAACCCTACTTGCAAGCTCCTGTTAGTTATTTAATTTAATTTAATTTTTGGAGTTTTTTTTTGAAAGTAACAACTTTTTTATTCAAGTGAAGGTGATAAACGAAGACACAGTCTATCCGATGGCTTAAAGACATCTTTATTAAGCATATACTGATACGTGGTCACCTCTAGGGGCTGATAGAAATCCTTGTTACCAATAAAGAGGGGTCTCTAGTTTTTCGTTACTCACCATATAAAACTAACTTACTTTTAGGCTGGTATTAGTGGTGAGCGTAGTATTTTCCCCGGTTGAGTTGACCCTTTCGTGACTCAAACCGAACCTTATATCGAATTAAAGTATATGTCAGTTTAAATTTCTACTAATTTACAATTAAACCTTAGAAAAAATATTTCTTAGAGAATTTTCAGTTTTGGATGTAAAATATTTTTGAGCCATTTTAACTTACCATTGTACCGTATTCAAATCGTTTTTAAAATATTACCTAAATATAGCGTTGGTTGCGTTTGCCAAAAACGTCGTATTGATATAGCAAGAGTTATGCAGGTTTGTGCTGCTGCACTCGTCATAAATACAAAAAATGTTCGCTGCCAAACTATGACCTTATTGGTTTATAAAACTCACTTTTGTTTACATGCTATCCCCGTATGTTTATAATAAACGTATTACGCAACTAAAATTATATACGCGCATGCGAGTGGTTCGCTGGACGCTCGTGGACGCTCAAGGTCGCTCAGCGAGCTATGGAGAGGGCTATGCTCGGAGTTTCTCTGCGTGATAGACTCAGAAATGAGGATATCCGCAGTAAAATCAGAGTGATCAACATAACCCAACGGATTAGTAAGCTGAAGTGGCAATGGGCCGGCCATATAGCTCGAAGAACCAATAACCGATGGGGAAGAAAGGTTCTCGAGTGGCAGCCTCGTACCGGTAGGCGTAATGTAGGGTGACCCCCCACTAGATGGAGTGACGACCTGGTAAGATGAAGAGGATGTAGGTGGCTCAGGACCGTGCTTTGTGGCATTACTTGTGGGAGGCCTATGTTCAGAAGTGGACTTGTGAAGGACTGTAATGATGATGCGAGTGGTTCCTTTGGGTTGTTATTTTATTTTAAAATATATTGTTGAAAATAATTCTAACTCGTATGCGCATAATACTAGAAAAAGCCTTATTGGCTTAGGGTTGAGTATTGTTGCCCATTTACAGTTGAGTCAGGGGTATACTAAACATAAAATATACAAATTTTTTGTAATACGCAAAGTTCAAGATTTATATTAAACTAAGTTTGTATAAAAAGGGTTATTATAATATTAAGGAATTTATGGATGATAGTAAACTCTGGGAAGGGTGATCGCTACCAAGCTATTTCTAATTTGTCTTATGTCGTTAATTGTAAATATTCTTCCCAGGACAGGACAGACATTTTTTGCGATCCAGTGATAAATAAAAAAAGTGCCTTTCAATAAGTATTGTTTACAATCTACATTAAATAAATAAGTATCTGTTTCTGATTCTGTAACACAAAAACAACTATTATTAATAAAATTGTCTGTCCGTTCTAATGTTCGGAATGGCTAAAGCGATTGGGATGAAACTTTACGAACTGATACGAACAGTGAGCAATTCCATGAAGGCTATATTTTTAGGCTATATTTTATCCGGAAACTTGAGGATAATTTAATTCAAAAATTATAATACTTTTATCAATCTAAATAACGCCACATTAATAGATCCTGTTTAGGCGAATGCGGGGCGGGCACTAGTAATAAATATATTTATAATATGAAATACCGTAGTAATAATTCTGTATTACACATTATGTTGATGTAAATGTGATTAAACTCTAAAAGTGTGACTTGTAAAACTACTAACAATCCAGCCTGATAAAACTGTCAAACATAAAGCAACACGGGCCGCCGACGTACCCGAGCTGTTAAAATATGTAACTATGTACGAGTGTGTAAAAAATGGCTGACAGCACAAAATATCACCGAAGTCAGGCAACTAGTCAACGTCAACGACAGTTACTAATAACGTGATATGTGAATGACAGACATAACTCTACACAATCGAAGCTTACCGTCGGTATCTGCAACATCTTCTTATAATGATACGACATTATCATTATTAGCATACAGTAATGATAGTTGTAAGAGTATGAATTACTAAACACATATTTGCAGAGAAAATTATAAACTAGCATGTTAAACTTTTCTACAAACAGCGGTCGTTAGGGTTTATTCATTTTATTGTTTCTCATAACAGAAAAATTAATGTATATTGCCGGCTTTCCAAAATAATCAACGGTTTCAATAGTAATGGCAGAAGTAGAACATCGACGTAGCGTGACTAAGTATGTCGTGGCAGTGTAATATTATACGAAATCAGAAATTATAAATGAGTCCCCTAATATTGGCTTATTATTTCTGGGAAATAGCAATGCTATAGTAAATGTTCAGACATTTTTTTAAAGAAATGTAGAAGACAAAACTGTATTAGGTATTTTCTGTAAAAATTTATGAATACGATAGACGAAATTCAACAGCTGATGTTTAATCATGAGTTATATTGGGAGATTAAATTATTGAGAATGAGGATTTGAAACATTTTGATTCTAGGCATTCCCTTACATAATATTATGCTATTATGTTAAAACAATTGCCTGCCGCACGAGTATAGTCAGTGGTAAGAGTTCCTGACTCCAAGTTGCGTTTTCTCTTGCAGAAACTTCGAGTCCCAATAAAGAACAATTTTTTTTTGGATAATCAGTTAGTGTAAGCTTGCGGTGTTTAGTACATACATTTATGACGCTATGACTAGGATTTTGTCCTCATAGTATTACAACTACGCTTAAGAGGTATTATTATAAGTCATATAATTATCATTATAACTTTTACAAATGTCACAAAGTACGGTCCTAAGCCACATGCATCTATCGACTTCTTGCATCTCTTACCAGGTCGTCACTCCATCTAGTGCACTTCGCCTACCGGTGCGAGGCTGCCGATCGAGAAACTTTCTTCCACATCGGTTTCCGATTATTCCGTCGAATAGGCCCATTATCACTTCAGCTTACTGATATAAGTCATATAAACAATGAATCATCATTACAACCTTTTATAAGTCTAATGCTGAACATAGGGCTCCTCCAAGTAACGTTACATAGTACGGTCCTAAGCCACATGCATCTATCGACGTCTTGCATCTCTTACCAGGTTGCCACTCCATCTAGTTCATTTCGCCTACCGGTGCGATTATTCCGTCGAATAGGCCCATTATCACTTCAGCTTACTGATATAAGTCATATAAATAATGTAAATCATTAAACAAATTTTTAGAGGTTTTTCGTAATACAAAAATTTAAGTAAGTTATACTTTTAAAAGGTTTCTGAAGTTTTTATGTTTCGCGTGAATTATACAGCATCAAATCGGCCGTGGAGAAGACTGAAGATTTTTTTTAAAACTACGGTTTAAAAATGGTTTGATGAGCTCTCATGATGATGATGATGATGGTGACGCTGATAACTATCATAAGAGTTATAATAATATGTTTTGCTACAGAAGGGACGCTATCCTAATGAAGTATGGCACACTTATTCCCCAAGATTATCGTAGTTCTGATACTTGTATGTTGGATACGCGCAGTAAAACGTAAATATACTGTGTTAATTATTTTACCGTTTCGAAAAAACTAGGGTGTAACAGGTGAACGGAATATAGATGGCCCGTGGCACTGATATTTTAAATTATTTTTTATTTTACTTTCACATATTATAAAATTGATTTATCAATTCGATAGTATATAATTTATTTAGTTCAATTTTTTTGTTTTTATTTTTTAGCACTGAAAGTTTATTTCAAATTAGTAGTATATATGAATAGATCAATTTATGTTAATATAAAAGCAAAAAAATTGTAAAATATCAGTGCCATAGGCTTTTATTCCGTTCACACACTTTTTTCTTCCAGACGATAAAAATCATCCAGTGTATGTAGATATATAAGTCACTTAATCTGCAAAGTTTTATCTGCAAACTTTGGTGGCTAGGTGTTAAATAAGTGTTAACAAAAACTTAGTGCTCTCGTATTTTATTATATTTTAATTAATAGCAAAGATATATTGCATAAAAGTAGACTTTTCATTAGTAGAATTTTGTCTTAAATAATATTGTATTATTTTTTGCATAATAATGACAGTTCAAAAGTTAAAACACTCACGTTCACCATCCCATTATTATCTCAATCTACTTGTTTTAACTGTTTCTACACATCAATAAATTCGCTATATTTCAACAATGGCAAATATGTCTGATATGGCAAATATGCAAAAACAACTGGAAGAAGGCTGGTGTCAGAAGATGGCTGATTTTGAAAGACGTTTGAAGGATGCATCCACTCCAAGTAATTAAGCATTAACACAGTTAAAATAAGAGTTTTATGCCTTTAAAGAACCCGTAAGTGCAATGCTCAACATTCTTAAGCAGCAGATCTAGGAATATGTCAAGAATATTGATGTCATAGCTATGTGGCAACTTCGCAAAGCTCTTCTTTTTATGGACTACCTGAGGCATCTGATACTGGTACAGCAGATCAAATACTTCTGTCTGCCACATATTACAGCAACCTATTGTGAAAATTGTTATGGACTCAATGCTCAGCAGAGTGATCATGTTAGACCTGTTCTTGTATTCTTTCAGAATCACAAGAACAGCCAGAAAACATTTTGGTGTTAAGAATGTATGTACTCATGATGGTGTAGTTTATGTTAAGCAATGAGGTGGTCATAATAAGATTATCATAATGGAAGAATTAGATGCTTTAATGGCCAAATACCCCAGTTCCCCAGATACGAGCACCAATACTGTTTCAGTGGCTATGTGTGCCGCTAAGAGCAATAAGAATGATAAACAAAGACTGCATGGCTCATCTGGTGATAACCATATGCATGAAACAGGACAACGCACAGTAACCGTTGTGGCTCGTATTGATGACTCCAAAAGACCATGGCGACTTGCAGTTAAGAAGTAGATTTGTGGTTCTAGGTATCTAATTTCTTTGTGATGAGTGAGTACACATGGTATGATTTTCTAAACTTCAGTTTAGTCCAATTATTGCCATAAGCAATATGCATAGTCTAAATCTATTTTAATTTTGGTCTGTCTTTACTTAATTTTACTTTTTTGTTAACTTGTAGTTCATATGTTCAACATTACAAGCATTAACTATTTGTAGTTTAGATTTGTTATTATTTACCATAGAGCATAATAAGTAATATGCAATATGCATAAAGTCTTAACCTATTTTAATTTTGGTGTGTCTTTACTTAATTTTACTTTTTTGTTAACTGGTAGTTCATATGTTCAACATTACAATCATTAACTATTTATACGTTATATTTGTTGTTTATTAAGTTATAAGATTTACCGTACAGCATAATAAGTAATATGCATAATGTTTTTACTTAATTTAACATTTTTTTTACTTTTAGTTCATATGTTCAACATTACAATCATTAACCATTTATAGTTTATATTTGTTGTTTACTGCAGTTATAAGATTTACCATACAGCATAATAAGTAATACGTATAATGTTTTTTTCTTAATTTTACTTTTTTTATTAAAACTTTTAGTTCATATGTTCAACATTACAATCATTAACTATCTATGGGTTAAATTTGTTGTTTATTACTGATATAAAATTTACCATACAGCATAATAATCCCAAACTTATATTTTATATTTTGTAAACTACTAGTCGTTTTACTGATAGTAGATAAGAGATGTCATTAAGTATAAGGATTAGCTTCTGTTGTAGTAAATTACAAATAACAACACCTTTTTACAGAAACTTGAGGTTACTTTTCTTTGTTTTGGTGTGTAGTGTCGTTTAATTATTTAAAATACGATTTTTAATTTTGTTTGTTATAGATTTACCATGAAACATATTATTCACACAATATAAATTCACATTTGAAACTTTCATCAGTAACAATATCAAGCATCACATTTTTTACTGCTCTTTTTCAATGATGAGACAGACCCTTAAAATTAAAACATACAGACAAGTAAAGGTTAAAAATGTTCAGTGTTAGTAATAATTTGTATATTAAGCAGTTGTGATATCATATTATGTACTTAATTTAGTAAAATTTAAACTGCTAGAATTAGTGAAATAGCAGTTTTCTTGTTATAATGTTTTTTTTTCATAGTTATTGAAGTTTTAAGACTAAGTTGAAATTTAAATTTATTTTTAGTCTATGCATATTTCTATTGTCTTTATCATGGAGTATAAAGGCAAGGAGGGCAATTTCCTATAGGAGAATAGTTAAAATGTATCCATCTGTAAGCAGTAAATAACAGTTCAGAAACTGTCCACAACAGCGCTCGAGTAGCTACAGGGTATGATAAATCTCCGTAAAAAGTTGAGAGTGATTTTTAAAATAAAAATTTTGAAAGCAAAAAACAATTTATTGTTAAAGGAATTATGGTGAAAGTCTGTGTTGTAAAAATTATGAAAAGTTCTCTAATATTGAGACTGTAGCTTAAGTGGCGCCACCTATTCCTATGGACAACTTTTTTATACAGAGTCTGTACTCGTTACCTCTACACTCCATAGTCTTTGTCTTTATCTTTTGTCACATGTTTAATGTGGCCGTGAAAAGAAAAGGGGACACTGCACACACTGCAATACTTTTATAGCCCAGTCCAGCCACGTAGATACTAGAAGATAACGCGAGTCTCACGCCGGCAAATGGACTGTGGCCGTGGAAGGAAAAGGGGAGATCTCCCGGCGGGCAAGGTGTTGTGCCCGGAGAGTGGCCAACACTCCATGTGATAGTTCGGAGATGTTTTATATATTATACTGTTTATGATTCGGAATGTTGATGCGTGATTTAGGCTTCGGTGTATTTCGCTTGTGGTGCGACGACAGCGCCGCCACATCACCCCCCTGCTCAGACTGGAGGTCGATAGTGCAGTCTCGTTGTCGACGAATGTGCAAGTGCCAGGAGATTGCCTTGTAGTCTGCGGTGAGTCGAGAAGCAGGCAAGTAATCTGCGAGAGTGCCGTGAAGCAGAAGCGAGCAGTAAGCCTCAGAGCTCAGAGCCGTGCTGAACACTGTAGCACAGAGAGTAGCTTGAAGGAACAGGAAGCATTATTATTCCAGTGCTGCGATGAACCTTGTGAAGCTAGCTAGCTTGCAGGATACGAAGACTGCAGACGATATCTGTTAGGGAGCAAATGGATGGGGTACTTTGTGACGATGATGAAGCTTGAAGTTTCCGAAGGTTGTTGGTTGCGTGTTCAGATCACGTCGGGTGATCACCACTGTGGCCGTGGAAGGAAAAGGAGAGATCTCCCGACGGGCAAAGTGTTGTGCACGAGGAGTGGCTAACACTCCATGTGATAGTTCGGAGATGTTCTATATATACTGTTTATGATTCGGAATGTTCATAGCGTGATTTAGGCTTCGGTGTATTTCGCTTGTGGCGCGACGACAGTGCCGCCACATTTAAGATTCTAGATGTTTACTGTTATTAGCAATCTGACTAAGATTTGTTATAGTATCTACCTCTTAGATTTACTTTCACGTGAGTCAACTAATGGGATGGTGTACATTTTAATATTCTTTTTATATTTCATGTTTAATAGTGTAAAGTTATTATTATTACGCTGATAAGACATATTTACTTATAATATATACTCAATTGTTTTACATACATATTATCTATATATTTTTCACATTATTAAAAAGGCTGAGAATGAGTCATTCTATTTAGTTAACAGCTCAGATCTTTCATTCTTGTCGTGTAATGATTTTAATAATAGTATCACGGATTCCTTAAATGCACAACCGTCCGGCGATAATTCCTTAAATATTTGTCATATAAATGCTCAAAGCATTCCGTGTCACTTTTCGGAGTTTGAAACAACATTTACATTTCAATTTATTCATGCTATCTTAACATCTGAAAGTTGGCGGAAGCCTTTTTAACTTTCAGCATTATATCCCCTTCCTGGTTTTGTACTTATCAGAAATGATCGAGTCGGTAAAGAAGGGGGCGTTGTTGCTATATATCTGCACTCGTCAATAGCATATAAGATTATTTTGTCATGACCTTCAGCTTATTCGGCTTCACCGGAATTTTTATTTTTGGAGCTGTATGTCAAAGGCACAAGAGTGATTCTTAGAGTAGTGTATTGTCCTCATTCTATCGATTCCTTCACCACTTTAAAAGTGCTTTTGACAATGTTCTTGCTGGGCACAATCATTGAATTATTATGGGTGATTTTAATACCGATTTATTTACTAATTCTTAATGTTCTCAAAAAAATTGATCAATCATTGAGTCGTTTAGTCTTCGCATTCTTCCCTTGCAAGATACGCATCATAATATCGACACTAATGATTCTTTGATTGATCTTATAATTACTGCTTCATCTGATCATGTAGTAACGCATGGTTAGCTTCCTGCTTCAGGTTTCTCGCGTCATGATCTTATTTACGTTTCCTACAACGTGAAACCTCCTAGACATAATCCAGTTATTTTGCAATTACGCAATTTTGCCAGGTCAAGCTTGGATCGGCTTAAAAGTGACGCTGCCAATTTAAATTTTGATACCCTGGCAATTGCTACAACTATCGACGACAAAGTATTATATCTCAATAACGTAATTCTAGAAGAGTATGATGCTCATGCTCCTATACGCAGTGTTAGACTTAAGCGTCCTCCGTATCCTTGGATGACGGAGGGTGTACGGATGGCAATGAAAAGACGAAATCGGGCCTTTATCTGTTTTAAAAAGAACGTACAGTTGATAATTGGACATTCTATAAAATAGCGAGGAGTAGGTGCAATCAGATAGTACGCAACGCTAAACGCCACTACATCCGTAACAACATAGTTAAATCTTCACCATTTAATATCTGGAAGTTTCTATTTCAATTGGTGTGGGTAAACCACCTATTATGGATCATGGTGCGTCCATCTCTTGTGATGATATCAATATTCATTTTGCTTCTGCTACGGCAATGGATACAATCCGGTCTCAAACTATATCGTATCTAACTTCGTTGCAGTCACCGCTAATTCCTGACTTCTAATTCTCTCCTGTGAGCCAGGATGACTCATTCATTCAACTCATTCATTCAATCAACTCAGGGCTTTAGGTTGAACAAAGAATCGACGCTCCGGGAAGTCTGCAGTCTGTGAACACGTACAGGATCGCCCCCGTCACTACATCAGATTTGATAGACCGCAAATCCTCACTAAAGAACACCGATTCATTCCAAGGATGATTCGCGAGGCTATTGAAATCAAAAAACATCCAAATTTCAATAGAGAAGATGGCTGGGTGCTACCATCTGCTTGGGATCCTATAATAAATAAAATTAAATCCCAACCCAAGCATACAACTGCAAGACTTCAAGATACCATAAGTTCATACTGCATAGATCAGAACAAAAGTTAAATTTTAATCTATGGTAACCGCGGTTAACTATGACATATGGACGTTGAACATCTCAGTCCCACCCGTGACCATGATTGCTGTAAAGCGTTCGAAACGTCGGGTATTTAAAAAGTTAAATATACGCGATAAATTCCGTAAAAACTAGTATTATTTCAATGCTTTAGGTTGTGATGAAATAAATAGATTCATGATAGTCAATAAACTAGAGTACATACTCCCTGTGGTCATACACATTGTCAATTTTCACTTGACTCTGGGGAGTATCCAACTCTCTGGAAAAAGGCTTTTCTCCGACCTCTTCCGAAAGTACATAATCCTACTTTACCTAGTCTAGAAAGAATTTTCTACCTGTAAACACAAAGATCATGCTTGTGCAGACACTTGTTTTGCCTATCATTGATTATGCAGATGTTTGTTACCCAGATTTGGACTTCTCAACAACTTAGAGCGTCTCCTTAATAATTGCATTAGATACGTATATGGGCTTCGAAAGTATGGTCATGTTTCTCTGTATCGTAATCGCCTAAAATGGCTCACAGTCAAGCAGAGACGTAAC